CAATTACAATAGCATTCCATATTGGGATGATGCAATTATATTCCAGTTACTTAGAAATTGATTATCTCCACACATCTCTTAACATATCTGTTTGGATCATTATTTTTGTTTTGTGAATTTTAGAGTAGCTTTTAATTTTACTTCAAGCTATTGGGAGCTCGTAGCTTAGCCGCTCAGATTGTAACAACAGTCTTGTAGGTTCACAGTGACATTCATGCCAAGTGTTCTTTCTCAACTGGTTCCAGGATAGGGAAGGCATTGTGGTTACCAAGCTGCACCAAAATCATTATTCCATTGTGGTTTTCTCCTATTTGCTTAATGTGTTTCTGTATTCCATGTGGCTGTATACCTGTCCATCAACTCATATGAGTCTCCTCATGAAACTTTGAAGAAAAGAGTCTTCCCCGTAGAGTGTAGAGGCGTGCTTGCTTTATACAGAAAGATATTGCATGGCTCTCTTTCTGTTGCTGTCATGATGAAGAGTCTACATTTAAAAGTGCAAAACCTAGCTGTATCGAGTGAGTTTTTTTTTATGGGCAGAAATTTTTGGCTAAATTGCACATCTCTATGAATATGTTTATATTAATACCAATACATTTAGAACATGTCTGAGAAATAAGAGAAATAAGCACAGAGAGTCCACTTGTAGAGAAAGAGCTGATTGTCCGGCACACACCCGTGAGTTTAGTCTGTTCACTAAACTCGGGTGAGTAGAACAGTCAGATACTGAATTGATGTTCCACCTGGAAGGTGTTTGGTCCTACCACTTGGTACATGCCGGTGTGTTCTAGAGTAGAAAAGCTTTCTCAGTGTTTGTGATTGTGTTCTGAAATGAAGGTCTTAGGAGGCAGGCGATCTCAACTGAAGTCATTGCATCTTTTTGAAGTTTAGTTTTCTTATCTGTGAAATAAAGGAGCGATACTCTGTCATCATTAGGTATCTTCGTGCTGCTGTGCATTTTAAGATTCTATACAAACTATTTCTTATGTTTGATATTCAGAAGAGGAGGTAGCTACTTTATTTTTATTTTCTGTGTCACTCAAGTTAATGGTCTATGCAGGTGCATGCCACTAGTCTTATTTAGAGATATGTTTCAAGAATATATGAACCAGTATATTAAATTAACTTTATATTCATTAAATTTTTAATTAGCATTTCAGTGCCACCTGAAAGGAAGACATGGTAATTCATACTATTTTAAACTTTATTAAGTTATTATTCTTAGCAGCATTCATATTTTGAAGGATAAAAGCTTTTAAAAATATCTCTTAGGTACATATCAAAAGAAAAATAATTTCACATTGTATTATTGTGAGCAAAGCTTATTAAGGCAGAAGAACAGACTGTAGAAGGTAATGTTTAGGACAGGAGCATTCTGAGAATCTGCATCCAGGATTTTGTTTCGTCTGTTATTTTGGTCACATGTAAAGTGTAGCATCAACATTCCTTGGCTGGACCGAGGTTTGGTTCAGATTGTTCTTCTAGTCTGCCCTGCTGATTTGAAGCCAAATTCAAGAACAGCTTGGAGCAATTTTTAATAAGTTACTAGGTCAGGCTTTTCCGAGTCTTCACTCCTAATCTGGTGTTCTTCTTGCTCTTTTACGAAGCACCTGTTCTGTCTCAAGATGTGGCTACCACTGCCTTCCTGCTCTATTTTCTCTCCTTGTCCCTGCTCTGGCAACTGTCTGCATCTTTCTTTGCCTTTGTTTCTTTTTCTTCTCACATTTGCTAATAAAAGTTTCTCCAGGAAGCGTTTTCTTTCTGCACAGTGCCCGCCTCGTTATGTCACCTGCTCTTTTTTTCTGCCACCGAGAGTTGTATGCTTGGTGCCAAGTTGCTCATGGCTTTTTACATATCATCTCTTACTGTCTCTTGCATTGCAGGCATGAGTCTTCCTTGTTTCTATATTCCCTTAAAATCTTTTCATTTTATGATGATAAAGAATTTCATAAAAATGAGATAGGCATTTTCTTTCATTTTTTCAGTTTTTTTTTTAAAAAAACTATTTTATGAGTTTGAGTGTTTCGCTTGCATGTATATATGTGCAACTGCAAACAAATACATTTTACAGAGAATGTAAAACTCCTTATCAAATAAAAATGTTTACCCATAAAGTGTAAGCAGCTGGCAGAGAAGGGTCCCTGGGATGTACTGTGAGTCAGCCAAGCTTGTATCTTTAACAAAATTCTTTGAGCAAGTGGTTTTAGGATTCCAAGTGGGAAAAATTTATCAAAAGACTCAGGTTACTTAATCAGAACCTTTCAAAAAAGGCTCTTGAAATAATAATTTTAGGTACTACAGCCAATCAAAATTCAGAGGGAGTTGTGGAGCTCAGTCCCAAGGAATACATCTACAAAACACTCCCATATCTAAGCCTCAGGGAACATTGTAGAAGAGGGGGTGGAAAGATTGTAAGAGCCAGAGAACCAGGAAGTTTGCTGTGAAGTTATGTCTCCTAGTAACATCAGAAGGTATACCCATCAATACTTTCCTCATGACCATCTAAAGATGAATTGAAGGATGATACTAATGGACATGCCTGAGTCTTACAAAAGAATACACCCAAGTGAATAAGGCTGGGAGTGGAAGGTACGGCCTCCACAGGGAGGAGAACACTTGTTGTTGTCCACTGCCAAATGATCAGCCCCAAAAGCATTTGTACAAGTAACATTGTATGGATTCAACAGGTTGTAGTTAGGACTATATATGTATATTCAGATACATATACATATACAATAGCATTTAATGAAAAAAGAGGTTATGAATTTAAGGAGAATTGGGTGGGGTATATGGGAGGATTTGGACAGAGAAAACAGAAAGAAGAAATATTGTAATTAAATTAAAATCTCAAAAATAAGCAAAAATAGTAAGTTTATACTCACTTATTCATTTAACCCTTTTTACACTTCGCAGAAGTTTTCAGTGTGCCTTTTTGTCCCAAGGGCCTACTGCTACTAGCCTCGGTTGTTTGTTGGTTTGTTTTTCCTCCAATCCTGAACCTGTATCCTGAAAAAGTTGTCAGAAGACCACAGCAGATATATCTGGGTATGGAGACGAGTCACTTCTGACATGTAGTCTAAAGTCATGTCCAGAGACTGGGCTGAGACAGGACCTGAGCTTTCTCAGTTACTAGGTAGCAAGGGGCTCAGTTTGGGGCATAAAATATGGCACCCAAGAATGCAGTAGTAAGAACAACAGCAACTTTTAAATCAATGCTCTTGTAAAAAAGTTGAAGACGTGCTCATTAATTTTAAAATGAGCAAAGCTTCTCCTAAATCTGGGAGGCTTAGACCCTTGAGTTTGTCCACTGCTCTTAATACCATAAAATCAGTGTTGCTGAAAGCACCGAATGAATGAGTGATGTTCACACACAGATATGCCCATTTACTCTTCAGTAATGAAATGCTTCATAAAAAGCAGATATGCATTTGAACCAGCGTTTCTACTTAGAACTTATTTATGCTCGTCAGCTTTTTATTGATGGGAAAAAAACACTACAGGACATCAGTTTATAGGAAGAAAATTTATTTTGGTTCAGGCTGCCAATGGTCTGTGGGCAGCAGCACAGAACATCATGTTGGAGCAAAACTGCTCCTGTCCTGGCAGCCAGAAAATGGGAGAGAGGAAACTGGAAGCAATGGAGGAGAGGTCCAGGGACAAGGCACTCTTCTCAAGGATGGACTTTCAAGGGCAGATTTCCTCCAGTTCGTCCTGTTTCCTAGACTTCTGTTACTTCCACATAGCCAATCTAATTATAAAGTCATTAATGGATTAACCCATTGATGAGGTCAGGTTCATGAACTGATCTTCCTCATAGAATTTCAAACTCCAGATCTTGTTGCCTGGGGGAGCAAGGTTTTAACTCATCATCACCCTTTGGGGGGCATTTCAGATCCAAATTGAAATATTATTCTATGGAATGTAGATTTCACATCAAGATTTATATATCTTGGAAATACTCTTTCAAATATTCCAGATTGCACATAAATAAAATATGTGTACAATACATGCATTATGTATATCTGCGGATGTATCCATCAGCCAATCATGCTGCTGTTTGAAGGATGACAACAAACACAAGGGACCAGGGACTGTCTGTTTTCTAGGAAGAAGTGAGCAGGGAGTTCAGAGATTTCCAGGATATGCAATATTTTACCTTCTGTTAGTCTCTCTTGTTGTAATTATTTTGAAGTATACTTTATTTTTATATTACCCAAAGTCTAAGAAAGAATATGTGAAGCTTTACATACATTTTAATTAATATTTTAAACGCGCAATTTGTTTGAAGGCGTAGCTTGTCTATCTGGTGTAGCTAGAAGTAGTCTCTGGCCTGCTGGTCCCCTGGACTGGTTTTTCTCCCCCCCTCCCCCTCTCAAAGCCACTTATGAAATAACTATTCTGAGGCTTTTATTAATTACATATTCTTTGATCTATTAGCTCAGGCTTCTTATTAACTAACTTTTACATCTTGAATCAGCCCATTTCTATTATTTTATATTTTGTCATGAGGTTCGTGCTTTGCTACCTCACATCTTACTCCTTGGTGGCTGCTGGCCTCTGTCTGACCCCGCCTTTCTTCACCCTGCACTCAGTTTCGTTTTCCTGCCTGGCTATATTCTACCCTGCCATAGGTCAAAGCAGTTTCTTTATTAACCAATGCTAATATAACATATTCACAGCATCAAGAGGGAAATCCAACATCAATCTGGAAAAGAGGTTTTTGCGAATGGTTCATATGAGCATTGCAGATTCTATATGATTGCTTTGTTTGGTAACATGATGATAATGGAGGACATTAGTAGACACATGCATTAGTGGTATGAGAAATAGGCATACAGTACGTAAGTTTAATGATGCACGTTTTCTTTAGTCCATTGCCAGAAAACCCTGGTTCATGTTAGATGGTCTTGGTAATTGGAGAACGTAGGTGCACTAGCGTCAGTTTCTAAGGCTGTGTCAGTGAGCAATAGAATTCATAAAGATTCTCTTCACTGTTACAGAAAAGCTCAAGAGGAGAATAAGAAAATTGTCCTAGCTGGCTGTGTTCCCCAAGCCCAACCTCGGCAGGACTACCTCAAAGGACTGAGTATCATCGGGGTAAGTGTGGACCTGATGGGTAAATAGAGCACGAGGTCATCAACTCATTCTAGTGCTTACGACTCTTTTAACCACACCAACTTTGTCCTGTATGTGTGACTTTTCACCTCAACACACAGGCGCGTGTGCACACGCACACATACACACACAGTACACCCTATGTTGTAGGTTTTCTCACTGAGAAACTACTACAATAAAAAAAAACACACACTATGAGGTTTATGGCTTGTCTTCATCTTGGCCATCATGAATGACCTGGTCTTCAACCCTGTTACTGCTCTCCAAATCAGCAAATTTCTCATCTTCTTGAGCTTCCTGCTCATCCTTCCCAATACCTAATGTGTGTTTTTAGAAAGCTCTGTTGTGTTATCCTTGCCTCTGGGTGTTGGCACAGTGCAGCCCGTGTTGCACAGCTCTCTGCTGCTGCGTCCTCCTCCAGGGTCCCATCTCTGGCTGCTGTTGCCCACTGTGGACTTGTCCGTGTGTCTGTCTCAGCACAGAGTTAGCTTTTGAAATTGGTTGTACACTTAAGCAATTTTTTATTTTGTACAAAGCCCATGGCTCCAATAATTATTCATACCAGGATAGCATTTTTATTCCTTTAACAACTGTGTTTTTCTACTCTGCACATTTAAGTGTAACCATTAAATGTTTGTTTACTGATTTGACCACAGTTTTTTCTTTTGTAGTTTTATTCTTTTGCTTAACTGTCGGACAATTTGTTCTGAGAAGTTCAGAGACTTGTCTGTTTGCCTTAGGTAACAAAATGACCGAGTGCATAACTTCTTAAACTGTGGGTTGTGACTCCATAGGCAAATGAATGGGGTAAGGACGGTCATGGAAACTTTGGCAAGCGCGAAACATTTCTGAATGCCCACCAACTAAAAATAAGGTCAAGTCACTATGTAACTAATCCACAGTGTTCTGGTAGTGCTTGCCTGTGTTGCATCATGTGACTTCACTCTAGCCTTGGTTCTGAACACATCTGTGCACTTTGTACTGAGCATGCTGTCAGGCCCTCAGTGCCAGTGAACACCTCTACCTGAACTGCTTCTGCTCAGGTTCCAGACTGAGTTCTGTGAACTACGGTGCTTTTACTCTACATACAGCACTTTCTGAACTCAGAAAAGTAATGGCTGAATTACAGCAAACAAAGATGTTTGTCATTTTCCTACTCTAATTCTCCAGCATCTATCAAATCAGTTTATCTTTGGATTGTGTTGTTTTAGACAAGCAAACCTTTTTAGCTTATTAGTATTTGCTTTCATTTTAAGTAAATGTTAAAATTGTATGATAATGAAATGTTTTAAAATTTCTGTATTTATTGTCAACAAATGTTTGATTTATATACTTACTTTATATCTTTATCCTCACATTCATCTAAAATGTTTCAGGCAGTCACAATGGAAAATATTTAGGGAGCTTGCCTGAGAGTGTAGTTGGGCTCAGTCAGTATTTCTTTACCACATGGTGACATTTTTCCTCCCCGTCGTTCTGTTGAAGATCTGCTCAGGAAGCTCAGCAATGATCATGAAAATAAGGCTTTATTTTGACTAAGGGCAAGTGAAGTGGCTTAGCAGATAAGGGTGCTTGCTGTCAATACTAATGTAAATGTGGTAACTTTTCAATACTAGCATACAACCAGAAACCAAGGAATTACTTAAGTAATGTTATCTTTACCATTTTACCCATTGGCTTGCTGATCAGGCTGTTTAGGGAAAAGATGCCCTAGATTCGTGCCAGATCCGGACTTCTGACAGTTGAGTGCCCTTCACCTGGTCTCTTGGGGACACAGGTATATGGACTTCTTTTTTAGTCCAACTGAAAAGTTGTCTTTGAGGTGTTCATTGGCTTTTAACAGCTAAGCTCAAAGTGGACGGCTGACTTCCAATTGCTTAAGCCTGCATGTTCCATATGACTATTATACTTCAGTTGAGCATTTAGTGTTTCAGCTGAGGACGTAGTGACCACAGGTGGTTGGTACCTGACATAGTGGACCGGGCAGCTGTGAGGATCTCTGTCGCTGCAGAAAGTTCTACCCTCGGGAGATGTGAGGACAGCATTTTTCATTTGCTTTAGGTGCCAGCATGTTGGTGTGTTTCCTCTCTCCATGTTTAGTTCTGACTTCCAAGTCTTTTCTTAGAGCAGGGTAAAATATTTTTATGGGCTCTTTGAAAGCCCCTCATCAGAATGACTCATTAATGTTATTTATGAATTGTTGCTCGCCGACTCCTTTCCTCCTTGTTGAGAACATATGGAGTCGTAAGGGAACAGGCTGCATAGTGTCCCACTCCCACCCTGTATATTTATAATCGAGCGCCCGAAGAGTACAAGATATTGCTTTACTTACTTTATTTGAATTATATGCTGTTGAATAAGCTTTTGTGTGTCCGGGGCTGCAATTTATGGTGCTGAGAATAGCTTTCCTCCTCTCCAAAGAAAATGCAATCTATTGTGCACTCTTCAAGGGGACTTTGGGTCTGTGTTTGTCCGTGGTGTTTTCTGTCCCCTCCTCCCACCTGCACTGTTTTGGCCTAACTTCTCCCTTTCCTCTTTAACGACTGTTACTGTGATCTCTCCTTTTCTCTACCTTTCCTCCATTTTATTTTCCCCACTGTCCTCATCACTGAAAATAGACTTAATAGTTTCCCCAGATTTCATTATGAGATTCTTTTCTGTTCCTTTGTAATTAAGGAAAAATAATCATATTTAAATTCTGTTTAATAGACACACTTTCCTGGTCCCTTGTCCCTCATGGATGCAAAGCCCTCTGATGTCTGCAGTCACATTGAATTCTGAGGTCCTCACTGTGTGTTAATCTGTGCACTTTCCTAAGCTGTTGGCTTTTTTCTTTAGTGACCTTCACAGTAGAACATTTGACTAATTCCATCTTTTTTGTGTATAGACGTAATGGCTTTTTTTTTGAAATAAAATTCATGCACCACACAGCACATCCAATCACAGCATGCAGTCCTGCGGTTTATTCAGATGTGTGACCATTGTTGCAAACGCTGTCAGAACACCTTTCCCTCCTGGAAGAATCACAGGGTTCCTTGGTGTACCTTCTTATTTCCCCTTCCTGTCACCATGGGCAGTCACTCACTTGTTCCCCTGTGAAGTTTTCCATCGTGGTTTTCATCTAATGGGGTTGCACAGTATGAGGACCGCCCTGATTTCTCATGGCGTGTAATGGTGTAGCATGTCTCATTGCTCCTATCCCTTTGTGACTTAATGTTTCATCATCAGTTGGTGGAAATTTGACTTCACACCCTTTGGCCATTGTCACAGGTTTTTGTGTGTATAGGTTTCCAGTTCTGTTGAGTAGATTTTGGACTTCTGAATTATATAATAACCGTGTTTAGCAGTTTGAGGAAATGTCAGACTGTATTCCCAGCAGCAGCTGCAGCCTCCAGCAGCAGGTGTGTGTGCGTGTGTCACAGCCATCAAACCGGCCCCAGATGCTGGGACCCTCAGTCCCATGGGGACTAGTGTTACAGCTCTCTGGTGGCTAATGATAATAATCTCAGGCCCAGGCCGCTTAAGACCCTTTGCTTTAAGGCTTGGCAACTGTTTGGAGCTTGCTTGCTGGTGGAGGCCGGAGCTCTTTTGCTCTCACCAGCTCTGTCTGCCTTCAGTCTCAGCTCACTTCTCTTTCTTGACCTACCTCTCCTTTGTCATCCTTCATTCTCGCTCTCTCCTCTGTTCGCTCAGGTTTTTACCTTGGCCACTGTCTGGAGTTCTTCAGCTCTCCTCCCATTGCTGTTTCTCCTGCTGCCACCAGGGTGGTGACCACCACCACCACCACCACTGCCTTTGTCCCGTTGCTGCTTTGGTGCTGCTTCAGCTGGCTTCCTGCTTCTTTACCACTCGCTCTACTGTTGAGAAAGATAAAAGTAGGCCAAGGACATGATGGGAGAGACATTTAATTACGGCTAATTATCTGAGAGCGGCACTAATGGGAGTCTCCTGGCCACCGTGAAGGGTAGGCTGCTGAAAGCGAGGGTGGTTGCGCAGTCTTGGCACAGCCATTCTCACAAATTAAGGTCTGTGTTTGTCCCAATCAAAGACCTTCTGCTGGGCTAGCAGGGGAAATGCTAGGTGAAAGTGGTTGCTAGATTTTGATTTTGTGATAAGAAGTTTGGTGTGAGTTGGTTGAAATAGTCATGTCTGGGACTTTGCCTCTTCTGTAGCTGGAGTTGTGCTTTGGTAGCAAGCAGGTGTGGTTGCTGTGTACTTCTTCAAGGCCTCGGTGAAGCGTTCTGAATAGTTGGCAGTCCAACTGGTTGCTTGGCTCAAGGCAACCAGGGTACCAGGGAAGGTTCTCAATTGTCAGTTAGTGTCTTGACCTCCCCTGCCTTATCTTAAAGGAAAAACAGACATTGGGCAGGTACTTTAATAAATGCCTAAAATCTTTAACATTAATTTAAAAGTAGCTAATAATAATTTGACAATGCTTAATTCTTGCTTCAGTGTCCCAGAGAAGTGGATCCTTCTAATCTGCCTCAAAAGCACCATTTATTGCAAGGTTCTCATGGGCCTACGGCTCTTTTTTCCTTATGAAGTTCATAGTTTAGCTTCTCATCTCTGTAACTGATGACCGCCACATTACACTGCTCCCCTGCTTTCTTATTCCATTTGTGTGCTTAAGGACCAATGTTGGACTCTGCCCGAAACTTTCTATTTCTAAGCATGTAGGAAACTTTATTCTTGTTCTGATTCCGTCACCAATTTATTTCAAATTTTTCTCATTTTATTTGCTATCTGCTGCTCTCAAATGATACCTTGGTTATTCATCCGTGTACAGTACCCAATTTGGCCGAGTCCTCTGCTTACGTGTGTCCAAGTCCCAGGAGATTTGAGTCACTGTGTGTGTTGTGACTTGCACTTCCTCCTGTGTCAGACTCCAGTGGGAATCACCTGCGTGCTGTTTCAGCACAGTGTTTCTATAAGCAGATGCCGGCCCTCACTTCTCTCCACAGGTACTGAGTAGCTGAGCCCACACGAATTCAAACCTCTGTTTTTCCTTCTCTCCACCCTTCCTCCCTCCTTTTCCCTGTATGCTTCTGTCTTCCAGGCTTCATCTGAGCCCCAGTGAATAGCCAGCTGTTTTCTTCCATCTCCTTCTGTTCCTAGTCACCAATCCCTCCACACAGTGTTTGTTCCACTGTGGTATTTGTTCGACACTCGGTGCATGCCTCCTGAGTGAGCGATGGAGAGAACAAACCTCTGGTCGGTCAGTTTGCCTTGAGAAAACCTAATCTGCTTGCAAAATCCCTGTCAGATCCCAGCACTTGGGAGGCAGAGGCAGGCGGATCTCTGTGAGTTCGAGACCAGCCTGGTCTGCAAGAGCTAGTTTCAGGATAGGCTCAAAAACCACAGAGAAACCCTGTCTCAAAAAAACAAAACAAAACAAAACAAAAAAATTCCTGTCAGAAATTCTCTCTAATTTCAACTAAGGATTTTTATGCATCCCTCATCCCTTATTTTCTGTCCATCTCTGTTTTTATCATCTTATCTTACTCTTAGCAGGTGACCCTGTACCAGCTGATGAGTTTTTATCTCCCCTGCTCGCTGGGGGAAGGCCCGTCTGCTTCCCCTGCTTCCCCTGTTTCCTCCTCACCTTCCGTCTGTGAGAGACTTTCCATTCCAGTCTGTTCTCCAGCTCCTCTTCTCTTTCCCCACCTCCCTCCCCGCCCCAGCTCCTCCTGCTCTTTCTCCTCCTCCTTCCTGCTTTCTCTCAGATTTATGACTGTATCCCTGTTCTTCAAAAGAATGAATTTTATTGCAGCATTTTCCCCACATCTATATAGCATACTTTGATCGTACCCTCTTTACTTAACTGTGTCCTGTTCTTCAATAGGCCCTGGTCTTTAAAAAGTCTTTATTTTAGCTTTTATGCTGTCCATCTTTTTTTTAAATTATTTGTTCCCCTTTTAGCATGCTTTTCTCTACCACATTCCTTCTCTTTGTATTTAAACTATTAAGAACTACTTACTCTTACCTAGACCCAATTACGTAAATTATTACTACATTACATTATCTCATTATCTTTTTTTTTTGTGACCTACTACTACTGTGCCTATATCTTTTTCTGGGTTTCCCATTTCTTTGGATTTCCAAAGCATTGAGCATAGGTTGGATGTCTCTCATTTTTTCTTCAGCTTCTCATCCCAGCACTTTGGAGGCAGTGGTAGGCAGAACTCTGTGAGTGTGAGGCTAGTCTTGTCTACAAGTTTAGACCAGCCAGAGTGACATAGTGAGATCCTTTCGGAGCATGGGGGCGGGTGGAGAGAGGGTTGATATGGGTTGATTTAGCCACATTTTACTCTTCTGTTTTGCTTTGCTTTAACTTCCTGAGCCTGCCCTTTGTGTGTGTGTGTGTGTGTGTGTGTGTGTGTGTGTGTGTGTGAGAGAGAGAGAGAGAGAGAGAGAGAGAGAGAGAGAGAGAGAGAGAGAGAGAGGGAGAGGGAGAGTGTGAGAGAGAGAGAGAGAGAGAGAGAGAGAGAGAGAGAGAGAGAGGGAGAGGGAGAGGGAGAGGGAGAGGGAGAGGGAGAGAGAGAGAGAACAACAATACTTGAAGCAATTTTAGAAGACCAATCTTAAGCTATTTTACTTGACTTCTCTAACTTCTGGGATCATGACTTTATTTATTTTACTGTCTTCATTTCATTCTAAACTCCTCTGTATCCCCTCAGTTTTCTTAGTGGCTTTTCCTGCCTTTGTGGACAAGACACCTTTGGTGTATCACTCCAGTTTAGCACCTTTCTCTGTGCTCTGTGGCACTCAGGGAATTCTTCCCTGGTCACTTGTGTGTCAAAAACGATCTTTACTATTGACCTTTGGTACTGTGGGTCTGAATAAGCTACTTAGCATTAGGTACAAATTCACTGAAAGAATTTTTAAAATCGATATTAAAGCACAAGATTTCCCATGTATCTCCTCAATATTAGCACATTCTATTGTGTAACCCTCCATTTTATACTCTGTAACTTTCAGCTTTGTAGAAAGAACATATTTTAATTAAAATTAAGTGTATGTCTTAGCCTGTGTTGAGTTTAAGTGGATAGCTGTGGCCTGACTTTTTCTTGGGAGACAAGAACAAATGTCTACTCAACTAGTTAAGATCCTAACAAATAGATCAAACATGCAATTCAACCAATTGTAGCCTTAGTGTGCTAGTGAATTTATTACTTTGTTTATTTATAAAGCAGGGTGCTTCCTCACTGCAAATCCCACCTCAGTGTGGGCAACAGCTCTAAAGCCACAACTTAAAGAGCCTCCCCCTTCTCCCCAGCAACTGTTTACTGCGTGAGCTTTCTGATTCTTCTTCCTTTTCCTGGGTAATGTTTCCGCTTCCAGTAATGGTGATGCAACAGCAGAACTCTGTTCTGGCTCACTGTGCCATAGTGCGTGATGTCTTCACTTAACCTTTGCAAGACACCCTTTACTCTTTCACAGGACAGTCACATATTTTTGGTTGTCGTCCGTCCTTCCTTCCTTCCTTCCTTCCTTCCTTCCTTCCTTCCTTCCTTCCTTCCTTCCTTCCTTCCTTCCCCTCCCTCCCTCCCTCCCTCCCTCCCTCCCTCATTCTTTCATCTATGTGTATTTTCTATATGTGTATAAAATCAAGTAATTCAAATACAACCTCCATCTCTCTAATCCATCTGTTGTGTGTGAGAGTGCTTACACACACACACACACACACACACACACACAATGGTAAGTCAGTCAAGTGAAATGGCACCAGCATTCTTAGGAAATGTTCCTTGACTCCAGCAGGCCCGTGAATGCATTTCCTCTCTGACTTCGTGTCCGTCTCCCTTTCCAGGTTCAGCAGATTGATCGTGTGGTAGAAGTTGTGGAGGAAACAATTAAAGGTAATGGCGGAGCATAAGATGAGCAGATGCATCTTCTGAACTAAAATTTTGTTATACCATTCAGTTAATACTTATTAATCATTTTTATAAAAGATATTGTTATAGGATAAAATCATACATTTTGTCCTTGAACTCATAGACTAGGAGGCATATATATATATATATATATATATATATATATATTTATTGTTCTTAAGTTTTTATTTAAAATTTTCTGTAAGACACTGGAAAGAAATGAAGAAATGAGCAGGGAAGTCATGTAAAGACACAGAGGGTTTGCAAAGTAAAATAAAGTAATCTTTAAAAGCCATATACTGTGTGATGTCAACTATATGGCATTCTGGAAGAGGGCAGCTATAGAAGCAATCCAGGTAACCTAGAGGTATAGGGACCTGTCAAGGAAACAGAATCCAGACGTGTTTTGGAGCAGTGATACTCTTGATATTGTGATGCTGCACACCTGTCAGGATGCACTTGCTCAAAACATTAAACTTCTGCTGTCAACTGTGAATGCTAGTGACCTGCCAACATCTGCTCCATCTTTAACAAACCTACCCCCGAGGTACTCTGGTGCAGATTGTTGGCAGTGGATTATAGAAACTCTTGCCCCTGCGCAGCCTCTGTGAACCTGAAGCTTCTCGGAAAAATGAAATGAATTTTAAAAATGAGTGGCATTCAATAGTGAGCTTCGCTGGAGGTGTGTAGAGGTATGTCAGGAAACAGGGCCCTTTCTCTCCCAGCTAAGTTTGATGAGTGACGGCATCTCCCTGATGAGTTTGGCCCAGTGTAGGTTCACTGGAGAGGCTGTGTTGAGTTTAGTTGTGAGAAACAGTAGTAGAGATGAGATGAGGTTTGTGGGACTCTTCCCTGGCCGTTTGGAGGATGGACAGGGGTGACTCTAGTGCTTGGGAGCTAATGAGAGCTCTGGAGGCCGAGGTGTGGTCTGACAGGTTCATTTAGCAGGTGTTGGCACTGAACCCTGTGCATCTTAAGTGGTTGGCTGAGTTTGCTTCGTAATATGTAAGAGATATTCGTCCTTTAGCTCCTGTTTCTACTGACCACACTTCATTTAGAGAGCCCAGCCAGAGGAATAATGTGCTTCCCACCCTGTAGCAGTGAGACATTTGTTGATTGCCTTTGAGCACATTATTTTTCTGATGCTTAATGTTCTCAGCGGCAGCTGGAGAGGATTTGAAGGTTTTTCTGCAGATTTTTCAGCTACTTTGCTTTTATCTTAATGTCCCAAACGGAACTATGTAACCTCTGTTTGCCTCTTCAGAGCTGTTTTCCACATTCATCTGTGTCCATTTAGGCTGGCATTTATGTGCTATATTACTTGAGATCCTTGCTCATTGGTACCCAGAGGAGTTCTTGTTTTCTGGTGCCCAGGAGGACCTTCACTCTGTTGTCCATTAGAACCTTTGATCTCTGGGTCCTAGTAGGATCTAATGATAATCAGCTAACTGGGGCAGGTGACTCTCCGCCATCAATACACCATCAGATATGCAGGGAGGTGCTTTTACCCCACTGACTCAGCTTCCTCAAGTTTTTTTTTTTGTGTGTATTTATATATATTTTGTTGGGGGAGAATATGAGTTATGAAACCAGAAATGGGACTGTGAGACCTGATCTTAATGGAGGAAGGGAGGCAAGGAAGGGGGTGGGACATGTGTTATGAATGCATAAAGGGATTTTGGTCAAAAGGATACTAACTAGTTTTGTGGAGAATAAGGGGATTGGAGAGGAGAGCAAATAAGAACAAATATGTATGAAAATGCCATAATGAATGTATTACTTTGTGTTCTAACTCAAATGAATTAAATAACCCAGACAATATAAAGAAATCCCACTTCCTGACCGTCACATAGCCCTACCTTTCTTACTTGTTTAAATATTGACTTAGCTACTGTCAGGCTGAGCTTACATGCTAACACTTGTAAAACATAATGTCTGATTACATGGGAAGACGAGACTCTAAGTTTCATTAATAATCTTAGTGAAAGACTGTGAAATCTGCTACTGTAAGCCAGTTTCTGTTTGAATGTCACTGGTTAATGTCTCTGTGCTGATTGTTTATGCTATCTATGTAGTGTGCTCAGATATGCCACTTTCTAAGATCCATCTTCTGATGTCTACATCATACTGCTTTATAAAATATCAGTCCCACAAAGAACTTTTATTGCATATAAACTTTATATTATTTTCTCTACTAGGACTCATTTTTAAAATAAAGCGAGTTCTGACTCCATAACCGAAATATGTTCATTCAGCATGCACAGCTTCAACACACCTTTTATACACACCGCCTTCCAAGGACCGCGGGACAAATCAGCCAGCAAAACGCTTGCTGTGTGAGCCTGGGGGCCACCGCTTATTCCCCAGAGCCCACAGGGAAAAGCTGGCATGGTAGCATGTTTTTAGTGAACTCAGCCCAGGGAAGGTGGGTGGATATGGGAGGATTCCTTGGGCTGCCTGGCCGGCCCACCTCCCTGAATCTGCCTTGTGTGTTTCAAGCCAGTGAAAGAGCCTGTCTCAAAAACAAGACGGGTGGTACCCGAGCAACACCAAACTGTGGCTGCCCTTTGGTCTGCACATCATACACGCCTTTTATGTGTACCCGCACTCTCGTGTACCTGCATACATGATCATGCAGCACGCACATATGCACACACAAAGCTTTCTTTACGATGTTATTTTAACAACAACAACAACAACAACTAGGCTGCCTGACCATAACCTGGTTAGCTTGGTGTTGGAGACTGGCCTTGTCATTCCTCACCAGGTTTCTGGTGTTGAGAGCAACTGTTATGTTTGGTTGTGATTTAGGGTCCTAAGACAGAAAAGCAGCCAGGGTTCTCCTACCTTTTTACACACGTGCTTATGTTTCAGGATCCTGCGACAGTCTTGCCGCCCATGCTCCTTTTTAATCCTTTAATTATTTAGATAACAAATCACTTACAAAATTGATTTTCATTGTCAGTTTTTTATAGAAATGGCAGCTTACGTTCGCTTGTCGAGTTTGAAACTTCCCCTGCTTCATGAGCAGGTCTTGTTAGGACTACACTTTGCATTAATTACTGTAGCAGCTGTAATCAGCACCTTGTCTAGTTCTTCGTAGCTTATCTTTTCCTTAGACATTAATTCGTTTGTACTCTACAGGAAGCCTGCTTGCACTGATTATGCACTGGCCAGCGACAAGTCTGAAACCTTCCTCTCTCGTTCCAAAGCTCATGTTATTTCTCTTCTATGGGGCTGCTTATAGTGAACAGAGGAGAGTGAGGAGGGGGACCTGTGGCTGTAATCACCACCCCTTTCTCATTGTTTAACTTGCTTTTCACTTTTTCTGATTCTTGCCCAGTCTTAATATGAGGGGAGGGCCCTAGTCTTACTGCAACTTGGTATGCCATGATTGCAATATCCATGGGAGGCCTGCTCTTTCCTAAACAAAAATGGAGGAGGAATGGATGGGGGCTTCCTGAAGGGAGGTGAGGGAGAGGGAACTGTGATTGGGATGTGAAAAATTATTTTAAAAATGCAAAATTTAATGTATATAATTTTGAATATTTTAGTAATAAAATATATTAAAAAAATTACAAATATATTTGATTGACTTTGACTGGTTATAACTAGTGCCTGACAGCTTTCATTATTTGTGCTTTATAAATGTTTTTTAGGAGCATTTTCCTTTCGGAATGTCTTACTTTTCACCATCGGTCTCCTTTTTCCCCAGTGTTAGGGAGGGAATTTGGTTCCAGTCAGTGGGATTTGGTTGTGGTGGTAGACTTTTTACTTGATTGGTTTTAAGGAAAATTAGCAAGAAGTTGAAGTTCTAGCAGAATGTACTGTGACATAGAAAATGTATCCTGCTTACCCAGCCCAGACGACAAGAATGACTCTAATGAGTGTCCCTCCAGAGACAAGGTCTGGTCACTGAGTCTGCAGCTAGTTGTGTTTTGGCTTGGCTGGTGACCAGCAAGGTTGCCATCCTCTGTGCCTGGCCGTCTCCTGGGGCTGGGAGTAGAAATGACTTTTTGTATGGATGCTAGGGATGCAGACTCAGGCTCATACGTGTGCAACACATCCTCTTATTCCCCGAGCTGTCTCCACACTCTGTCTTAAAAGGGAAATTTGTCTCAAGGTTCCCAAAGTTGCGCAATTATTATACCCCTATTGTTTTCTAGCAGCGAGCTCTGCTTCCATGGCTGGTTGTAGTAACTTTAGTATGGTAGCTGTGAGCATGAGAAACAGTAATGTTTTATATTGTGACACGGATGCTTTCTACAGGGACAGAAACATCTATCCCTGTGTTCTTTCAAATACCACAACTTTGTAGCTCTCTGACCAATTTCTAAATCAGGAAGGTCTGCCCTAGCAAGGCAGGCAGTGGACTGCAAGGCCTTTCTATTCAGGGTCAGGGCTAAGATCTGCCTGCTCTTCTTTCAGAACTGTTTTGGCTGTTGACAGTTTGGATGGGCACCTGAGTTAGACTGCAGAGAATTACTTAATCCCTCACATATCTCCTTCCCTTGTCATAAAAGGCATCTCTGCTCCCCGAAGAAGGCGTTTTCTGGAGACTAAGAGGACATGCTGACTTGGTGTGCCCTCTCTGTCGCAGCAGTCTGCCGATTAGCCCAATCGCAGTCAGAATGAGCGCAGCCTACAGCTCTGTGAGATGGAGGCAGAGCGTCACTAAGGACCTCCTGTTCTAGCGATGCTTTCATTTTCCTTGTGAAGCTCTTTCTCGCCCACATACCAGTTTCTCACTTCAGAGTTGTAGGGCAAACACGTTTTTCTGTGAAACATGAGTCTTGACATATAATAACCTTCAGGTTTGCAGAGACTTCACCTGTGTTCTCTAATCTTAGAGCGTCTTCCCAAGCTACCTGTCGATCAGGGAGGGTCTCGTTTTTTTTTTTTTTAATTAAATAAGTTAATCCATATTAAGTAGTATGAGTTTTATTTATTGAGAATATCATGCAAACGTGCAATGTGCTTTGGTC